AAAAGAGTTCCTTACAAGACCCACAAAGACTGAATTTGGAATGTGGCAGCAAAGTCATCCAAACAGAAAAGGCCTGGTATAAGGGAAGGAAGTCATGTTTGTACCTGCAGGATGGCCTTCCTGGCATGTGCCTGATGGTCACATTGAGTTGTTTGTACCTGAGCAAATGCCCAATGGCTAGATCCTAATTCTGAATCCAAGTTATTGCAGGGGCCCCATTTGGTCTCTTAAGGAGGCTGGCCTTAGTTGTAATTTTTATTTATAGCTCATTCACTGCCTTTTCCTTTTCCCTTTTATAGCAATAATTATGTTACATTATTACATATATTATTATACATATATTATTATATATTATAGTGATAATTGTTATTATTCACTAATAAAATTGTTATTATTCACATAATAAAATGTTTGATCTTCTCCGTGAATTTACACTCAAGTGTCATCTCTATTAGTGCATCTGTGTTTGAGTCCCTGCCCTTTAACTGGCCATCTGAGTGAGTGGTTGCACAGTTGGTCTTTCCATATTTGCCCTTTTCCAAATCAAAGTGTCACTAGGTCTAAGTGAAAAAACATGGTGTATTCATTCAAACAAAGATTGACATTGAGTATAAGGCTCTGTGTTAGGCCCAGTAGTAAACACAACAGTCTTGTTGAGTTCCCAGAAATCTTTGGCATATTTTATTAGAAAAAGTGAAACAAATACCACAAGGAGCAGACAGGCCATCTTCTCTGGCCTCTAAGATGCTCTGGTTATCTTGAAGTAAAATGCAGAACTATTGCTGAATTGATGCAATGTCAAGTCCAAGTAAGATTAAGAGCAAAGAACTATCTTGATTATTCTCCAAGCTGTATTCTAGAAATAAGATTATGTGTTACAAGAGGAAGGACAGAGAAGCTAATCTTCATACCCAAATTTGATAAACAAGGCCAACTACTGCTACTTACAAAGATGTAAGGTCATTTTGCAATAACATGCTAAACTATGGCTGGACAGATGTTAAATTTCATAATCCAAAGAGCAATGTCAATTTCAAACCAGATTAAGAGCAGAGAATTATCTTGAACTAGAGGCCAGATGCACGCAAAGATTCATGCAATAATGGGCCTTCCTTCCCTTGGCTGCTGGCACTGCCTTCGCTCCGGCCGGAGCCACTTTTCCACCTTCCCAGGATGCCCAGAGGCCCAGAACAGATGGGGCAGTGGAATGCCTATGTCATCGCCATGGCGATGATGCAAGTGTGCCATTCCGCGCCCCCTTCCCCACCACTCGGTGCCAGTGTATGCAAATTAACCCACCATCTTTGTTGGGTTGGTTCAGGCGTCTTCAAACTAAGGCCCGCGGGCCACATGCGGCCCTCAGAGGAGTCTGATCCGGCCCGCCAGGTTTTTTGGGCAGTGAGCGCAGCCAAGGTGTTACAGTAGGAATTAGTAGTTCATATAGTCCGGCCCTCCAGCTCTCTGAGAGACCGTGATCTGGCCCCCACTTTAAAAAGTTTGAGGACCCCTGGATATGCTCACTCCTGATTGGCTGGTGGGCTTCGCTAAGGTATGGTCAATTTGCATCTTACTCTTTTATTAGTGTAGATATTCTCCATGTTGTATTCTAGAGATAAGTATGGCAAGTGGAAGCAGAGAGAAACTCACAGAACTAATAACATCCACATCCAAGCCCTAGCTGGTTTGGCTCAGTGGATAGACTAAAGGATATAGACTAGAGGGTTCTGGGTTTGATTCAGTCAACATGCCCAGGTTGTGGGCTCAATCCCCAATTGAGGGCATCGTTGATGCTTTTTCTCACTCCCTCTCCCTTCTTCTCTGAAATCAATAAAAATATATTTTTTAAAAGTAAAGAATTCTTTCATTGAAAGGTAAAGTAATCTTCACTCACCAATACTGAGACACACGGGTCTACGTATTTAAAAGTATAGCAGAAGGTCACAAACAAAATTAATGCTATAGAACAGCAAACTGGAGAATGAAGAAATTTACTGCCATGGGTTGAACGTTATCTGACTCTTTAAAATTACGCCAGGCAACAAGAACATTTCAAATAAATCTTTAAGTCCAGCCTCAGTGGAAGTGGACATTTCAGCTCAAAAGTTAATTTGGAACCAAAGAAAGGTATTTAACTGAGGCATAGAGAGAATACTACTTTTTATACAAGTAGAAAACTCTTGGAGTTTTCTTCAGAATGGCTTGGTGCCTAGGAATAAGCATTTCCAGGGCCAACAGCCAAAAGTCCCCAGAGCAGAGCCAGCTGGTCTCCCCATGGGATCAAACTTGATTGGAGAGAAGCAAGGGGAGGGCAGGATCTTCCCCTCTCGCAGACCTACTCCTCATTTAAGTTTATCTGAAATATCTTCAGAAAAATGCAAGAGCCACATTGTCACTGATTATCTCCTGCAAGGGGAGGCTTGTGTTTATCCTGCTAGATAAAAACTGGCTGAGACCTCCCCAGTGGCTGGCCTCTCATAACCTCAACACCAGATGCAATGAGTCAACCATTTCTCCAGCTCTGTGAGGAGTGTGCTCATGTTTAACCTGAAAAAGGAATCCTGTAATTGCAGCCCCTTTCCAGAAGACATGTCCCAGAGCTCTTTGAGGACAACTGTAGACTTTTGTAGACTTTTCCCTTTGGAACTGCATCGTTTGGAAAAGGTCTGAGGGTGAAGAAGGGGATTGAAGTAGGGAAGGGAAAGATAAGTGAGTAAATTAAGAGTTTCAAGAATACAGCAATGTGTTTTGGTGGATATGAATGCTCACAGTACTACATAGAAAGACATGGGGCAACAATTCTTTCCAATTCAATTTGTGTTAGAGCAAAAATTCCACTCATGAGAATTATATATATATATATATATATATATATATATATATATATATATATATATATATTCGGATTGTCCTACTTGTGGAAGTAAGTCCTAGCACACTTCCATGTCAAATATCGAGTTGCGTCATCAGAGCAGAAGGAAATGCAGTTTCACCAGGGGATTGCAGAGGCCAAAGACTGGAATGCATGTTCCAAAGGTACACCTTCACTGATGCTGACTGTGGATCTCTGAGTAAATGAGCTAGAAAGATTTAGAAACTGAACTCAGCAACTGGAAATTTAGCAACCTTTCCCGAGTATGGGCATTTAGATATGATTTCACATTGGAGTTCACATACAGATGCAATGTACAATTACTGAATACCTTGTAGAGTGCTAAATGCGGAAAGTACTGGAACCGAATAATTGAGTGATCTGGATGTAAAAGCTAAGGTCCCCATTAACAAAAGCTAAAAAAGATGACTCTAGACAACCACTGAGTTCTGATCGATATCAGGTGTTCTAGACTTAAACTGTGGTACATGATGCAAAAATATATCTTGAGATATAAAATATATGTGGTCTGGGACACTACTCTTTGAATCTTAGGCTTATTTTCTTTTTTCAGTCCTCACCCTAGGATATATTTATTGTATTGATTTTAGAGATTTCTTTCTTTTTATCTAGCAGGATAAACACAAGCATCCCCTTTTAGGGGATAATCAGTCACAACAAGACTGTTGCATTTTTCTGAAGGTATTTCAGATAAACTTAAATGAGGAGTAGGTTGATGGGAGAGAGAAACATTGATTGGTGCTCCAACCAGGGATGGAACTCTAAACCTGGGTATGTGGCCTGACTGGGAATTAAACCCGAAACCCTTCCGTTCACAGGAGGTCATTCCAACCAATTGAGCCACACTGGCCAGTATGTGACACTATCTCTTCACTCTAGGAATCTTGGTTCCTCAGAATACATCTCCATGATACCCAAAATGTAGTGAAAATGTAAATTCTTATGAAAGGAAAAAAAAAAGATTTCAAAATCAGAAAAGATATTCTTCTCTACACACCATTGTTGAATCATCATATGCAAGTGAGGATATAATTTAGGGTACACTATACATGGAAATCTGTTCTTTCCAAATAACACAATTCACTTCCCCACATACATTGTTCCATTTAATCCTCACAATAATCCTATGGGTTGTGCAATGGGTTGACGTCCTCATTTTAACACAGAAGAAACTGAGTTTGGGGAGAGAGAGAGAGGTTACCCAAGGCCTCGGCAATTAATAACAGCCGTAAAACCAGTAGCATGTTTCTGACGCTCCATCCAGCCCTTCTCACCACAAATCTAGACTGAAAAACAACGCCTTCATTTCAAACACTTGACAGTTGATCCTGCAACTATCATCATACAATAGCAGAGGAATCATGAGGGTTTCTGTTATCCACACAAAAAAAAACAAAAACAAAAACAAAAACAAAAAAAAACACAACAAAACAAAACAAAACAAAAAACGTGTAATCTTCTGGTTAAAAGAGTGGACAGAAAAATCATAAACATTTCTTTACACTCACATGACATGCATATGGATGGGCTTTCTGAACAGCTGCAAGGAAATTCCTAAACAGAGCCCAAAGAAAAAAAGTGTTTTCTAAAGTTCCTGATAAAACTTGAGCTCCATTATAATCTTTTCTAGCGGAATCAGTTAAAAGAATCAGAAGAGTCATTGACGCAGCACCCAGGGCCGCCCAAAGCCCGCCCTAAGGGGTAAAACGCCCTGGGTGGTTCCTAAGACCCACAACTTTCTGGCTGGTCATTTCCCCCTCTGAACACCTTGTACTCCCTGAGGGTTACAGGTGGTATTTCTAAAGATCACTATATATATATATATATATATATATATATATATATATATATATATATATATATATTTTTTTTTTTTTTTTAACAGCCTGATTTCATAAGCAGACTCTTTAATAAGCATCAGTGCACACAACGGAGAGTGCTGTTCCCCTGGGGTGAAAAGGAGGCACCGAAGTGATCAGCATGCATTCCGCCTGCAGAGCGGGAAGGTGCAGAGCTGAATGCAGGCAGCCTCTCTCCAGGCCCCGGTGCTGATCGAGGGGGACCCGCAGGAGCGGGGCGCCGCCCTCCCCGCCCCGGGGTGCGGACCTACCAGCGACAGCACTTTGTAGGTGTTGGGGTCCTTGACCGGCCGGGCGCGCGCCGCCTTCTCCGGCGGCTCCTCCCCCAGGTCCATGGGAGCCAGCAGGGACGCGGCCGTCTGCGGGTCCCCGAGCGCATCGGCTCCGTGGCCGTGGCCCGGGTCGCGGCCGTTCCCTGCCGGGCCCTCCCGGCGGCCGTGCCCGCCCTCGCCGCGGCTCCCACCCCCCGCATAGCCGTCGCGATCCATCGTGGCCCGGGCGCTCCCGCCCCGCCGGCCCGCAGCGCCTTTAATAGGCTCCGCGCCGGCCCCGCCCCGCCCCGCCCCGCCCGCCCCGCCAGACCCCTGGCCGCTCGCCCGCCCGCCCGCCGCCCGGCGCTGGAGGAGCGGGGAGAGCAACCCAACGCCCCGGATTATTTGGCTTCCTGTCTGATTTCGGCCACTCGGCCTGCCGGTTATTTTGGGTCCTGTACGTGGGCGTGTCTTTAACTTTCCCCAAAGCCTTCCCCGCCCCGCGCCCGCCCGGCCACCTTCCGAACACTTGCAGGAATCGCCCTGCGTGGCCTTGCGGCGCGCGGGCTGGACTGGAATGGCAGTGTGGTCTGCAAGAGGGCATGAGCTCATGGGGCCCCAAAATAGAGCCGGAGGAGAAGGATGCAGCGGCCAGGCTGTAAGGTGCGAGAGTGGAGCCCGGCAGACCCGTGTTTCTGGATGCACATGCACATAAACTACAGGGACACGGGGAGGAGCATGCATGGGGCACCGCGACCTTGTTCTCCCCCGTCCAAAGGAACAAGAATCCCTTCAAAGCCCTGCTACCCACTACCTACCCTAACTACTCAGAGAGGAGCGTCCAACCTTGAAGATCTGCTTTTACAAAACACACGAAGGGAACACAAGTTTTCCGTGAGTGTGTGTGTGTGTGTGTGTGTGTGTGTGGTTTCTGGCTTTCTGTCCTTGGCCTTGTTTTAAAATATTTACTTATTAGTCCTTTTATACTTTCTATATTGAAGGCTTCAAAGTATCTTGTTGCCTGCCCTCTCCTGAAGTTGACGTTGCTACTTGGTAACTAATATCCAACATTTAATTCAGTCTGGAATACTTTCATAGTGTTTGACCAGGACAGGAACAGTAGGCCATAATTCCTGGTGGGTGTTGATTCACCTTGGATTCTACAACTTTTACATTTCCTTGCTCATCAGTTAGAAAAACCACAAATGGGTAGTGAAGGCAGTCCTGCCTGTCAAGGGGAAGCCTGTGCCTCCCAACGGCTTTGCAATACTTGGGACTGCCTTCCCTGACTAAGGAGAGTTATACAATCCAAAACAATTCATGTTCAATGCCTTTGATTACACAAACGTTTCTAAAACCGAGAACCGGTGTTTAACAGATATAAAGCGTGTGTTGTTTTCTTTGAAGTATTCACCTTGGGATGCTTTTCCTTTATATTGACTCATTCATTCATTCAATAACAATCCTTCAATTCAAGCTATTGGCTTCCAACTAGGCATACCACATCAAAGATGAATAAAAGGAAATCTTTCCCACGTGGCTTTCAGTCTGGTTCAAGGAAGTGAAGGCAATAAACAAGAAATTAAAACCCAATTCATTTATGCATTGTAGAAGCATAAATAGGATATTTCGAAAGCTTGGTGGAAAGAGTAATAAAGACCTGGAAGAAGTAAGGACAATCTGTCAAAGCATTATTGAGATTTTCTTTTTATTATTTGTTACTTTTGAGTCAGCCTACAAGCCACCCAAAAGAAACAAGTTTTCACCATTTCATAGTCACACATATTTTTTACCCCAATCTTGGCTCCCGATTTTCCCTTAACTGGTTCCAAAAATCAGAGTCAAGGACAAAGATTTGCTCAAAGGTGACTGGTCAAATGAGTGTCAAAACTTCTAAAAGCAACTTAACAGAGATATCCCAAAGTGGCTTTGAACCTGACAAAACAAATGGAATAAGTGTATTGTCTGCATCCCCAGACCATAACTCACTTGAAAGACTTGTACTATAGGATAAGTCAGCGTTCAGTCCAAACTCAAACATCTAGGCATTCGCAGGAACAAGAAAAAATTGTCCCTCCTTTTGGTGGACAATGTGCCCAGTTAAAGGGGGCAGCATTCACTCCTCAGTGAGTGGATTGTGTGCCCACTGTGGCAATAGATTTCCCAAGAGAAACAGGAAATTTAGATGTTTGTATGAATTCTCCAGGTTGCAAAATTTTGTCAAAATACGAAACTCAGAAAAGCAATTTCTTTTAAACACTTTAAAGGCCAAACAAAATGTAACACATCTGCAGGGTGGGCCTGGCACACAGGCCACCAGGATGTGGCCTCTGCCTCACGCTCATGCCTTGCCTGTGCCAGCTGAGACTTTTATGGGCAACTATAAAAACCCAATTGCAATTCTAAAATCAGAGGAATAAAAACGAATCAAGGATGCCACTCATATTGTTTAGCTGTGGGCATCGCAGTGCCTGTCATTTAGCCTTGCCTTGGTCTTATTTAGATTCTAAATGGCCTGTGGGATTGCTTTGCACTCCAAAGTACAATGAGGTAATGAGACATAAAACGGCAGCACAACTGGGTCCTCTGATTAGTGCAAAGGGGAAAAATGTTTTACTCTTAGTCCTAAAACTCTCTGCTCTCATGACTGAGGGCTCTAACTTAGTGCAGCAGTGAAGATGGTAGTTTAAGATGTTAGACCTTAAACTTTTACTCTACAGACATATTTTAATATTTTTCCCCTTGGTGCTTTAGATGTAGATGAGGCCAAAACACCAAACAAAACCCATTTATCTATGTTTGAACTACGACTTCTCAAGGCTGAGAAACAACTCCTCGGCTTTTAGAAAATGCAAATGCTGGAGAGTAATTACTTTTGCAGCTGCTCTAGAGCTTCCCCACTTCCCCCAAGCCTCTGGTGGAACACCAGAGACATCTAGCCCAGTCTAAAACAGAAAAAACCACAAGGCTCTTTCATGTTTATGAGTCTTAGAAAAAAACACGTCTGTGACATTCATTTATGTTTGAGATTTTTGCATGACATCTTAATTTCTCTTCTTTTTTTTGTAAGCACAGAAATATGCCCTCTGGAAGAAGCTCGGAAAACTATGTGACCTGGTACAGATTACAGGAATTCTTTGAGATTTGGTTTCCTCACTTAAAGAATGCCATTACAGACCTACTAGCATGGCTCAGTGGTTGAGTGACAACCCATGAGTCAGGAGATCACTGTTTAATTCTTGTCAGGGCACTTGTCCAGGCTGTGTGTTCAAGCCCCAGTAGGGGGCGTGCAGGAGGCAGCAGATCAATGGTTCTCTCTTATTGATGTTCCTGTCTCTTTCTCTCCCTTCCTCTCTGAAACCAATAAAATTATATTTTAATAGTAGTACAAATAATAACATAAAAGTACTCTGCTATCGCTAAATGCTAACAAAATGTTTAACATTTCCCTGCTTTACATAAAAGTTTAAATGTATTTTTTATATTTTTGTCACCCAATTCTTACCTTTAAGACAGAGAATATCTCTATTTTATTGTTCCATAAATTAAGCATGATTTATACATAATTTTGGAGAAGGTTTGAGCGCTGCTTTTGGATATGCCATCTACAGAGGGAGAACCACTCTGCCTGCCTGCCTGATCACCCCTAACCACTCTGCCTGCCTGCCTGCCTGCCTGATCACCCCAATCACCTCTGCCTCAGCCCCTGCTGCCACAACTTCATCTGAAGGACAACCAGAATGTTGTCCAGAAGGTTGTTCAGCTATTAAGTCTAATTAGCATATTATGCTTTTATTATTGTAGATGTTACTAGTAATTTCTCTGTTGGATGTTAGCTTTTTTTTTAATGTGATTTTCTTACTAGTTGCTCTGAAGGTTATAATGCACATCTTTAGTTTACTATCTACTTCAGATTAATACTGACTTAATTTTAGTAATATAGCATTTTTCCTGTGATACATCTTCATTTTCTGTGGAGAAAATAAAGCAGAGCCTTTGGGCTCTAGGACTCCAGGCCTGAGATACAAGAAGTTACCATATTATAATTGATATTCAATAAACTGCACGTATGTAAAGGGTAAAAGAACAAAGACATTACCATATTAATATATTTAATTAGTTACCATATAATTGCCAAAGTAAAATATTTAGTATGGGAAATAAATTGAAAATCATTATACAGAATGCTAATATACCAGCCCTCTGAACACCCAGTAACTGATTACCTACTGTATACTGCACTAGAAACACTGGTGATAAAGAATAAAAGCAAGAATAATCCATCCTGTGGACTCACAGAGGGAAGGTGGAGGAGAGTGGGTAGGTGGGAAGAGATCAACCAAAGAACTTGTATGCATACTAGTATAAGCATAACCCCTGGACACAGACAATATGGTGGTGAAGGCCTGGGGCAGTGGGATGGGGAGGACAAGAAGAGGTCAGTGAGGGAAAAATGGGGACATATGTAATACTTTCAACAATTTTTTTAAATACAATAAATAAATAAACCTCTAACTCATAAAAAGAAAGAAATTAATGTAAGATAAATGGATTAATAATTATTCACAAGTCTCAAACTTTCCATGTGGATCTAAAATCAATTAATTCTGAATTCTTGTTGTCCATACATCTAGAATCAAAACTAAATTAAGTTTATTGTAACAAAAATTAATTATCCAGTAATTCCCATATTATTGTGATCACTATACTTGTACTAAAGAAAAATGAAAGTCTTGAACTTATAAATTTCATTAAAGTACTCAAATTAAAATGAAGAAAATCAAAGTTTCAAAAAATGTGTGAATAATTAACTGTTTACTCTATGTTATATAGTTCTTGATTGTGGAAATTTTGATAACTGATAAAACTTATACTAAAAATTTAACTGTTTTTTAATAAAATTAAGAAAAACCAGGGTGAATATAAATTTTAATATATTCATGATTACTAAATAAAAAGATTATTTCAGATTCTTTACATCTAAAAATATTGATTTATTCTTTGTTAACATATATTCACATTTACACACACACGTGTTTATCTTTATATACATACTATAGATGTACAGGTGCATGAAATTTATTAGGCCTCGCCGACAATCAGGGCCAATCAGGGTTTTCTGGCTACCAGCTACAGCCTTCCTTCTCCAGCTGCCAGCTACTGGCCAGGGCCTTCCTTTATTGTGCACTACGCCCTGGTGGTCAGCACACATCATAGCAAGCAGTCAAACTCCCAAGGGGACAATTTGCATATTAGCCTTTTAT